GTATATAAAATATTTAACTTGTATCTGATTCTTTAATTTTACAGCATATAAAACTCCATGCTCATGTCTGAAAATTTTAGAAGTCGGATCATAACTTTTCAAGGCCAGAGAGAGAAAATAGCGGGCCCTGTGCTTATGTATTATCTTCTGTATTGAACTTCGGTGATAATCTGTTTCTGARAATAATGTACCTTTGTGTTAAAAACGGCTGAAATCAAGTTAAACTTCCCTGTGCCTTCATATATATATGTTAATATAGAGGTTTTAGAACTTCTGGTTACCTTTTGTGGTTAACTTTTCTGACTACAATATATAAATTAATTTTATATCTATTTTATAAAATTGCGTGGAATCATATACCGGAGTAGACTTTCCTATACGATATAACGACTTTCTAGCCGACTTTAAGCGTTTTATGTTAGTCAATATATGTGATATTTCAATGTTTTCATAATCACAATGTGGCTTTGCGCTGAATATGAATGCAATCGGTCTATATCGGGGTCTAAGTCTCTCAATCCTGATATAACGATTTCCGTTTCACGAGTGGATTTTTCCCCCACACATCAAAATATTAATTTTACTTTTCTCTATAGCCTGTTTTTGACGGGTCACACTTTTTGATGCATTTCGGGATTCACTACTTTAAAAAAAAAAAATAGAGGCATTTCAAATTTATTTGGGGAATGCTTATTTTCATTCGAAAGAACATTCCTTAGCAGTTATTTTTTAAGATTATCTCTTTCAAATCCTGCCCGCCACTACGACTCAAATGGTTGATACCTTGWGTCGAATTTTCCATCACTCGTTCTGTTCATTTCGCGTGGTAATTAGTTAATGCAAATCGTTTTGATTTTTCTCCGCTCTTTCGACATTTATCTTCAGCAATGCAACAGCGATGCAACAAYGAGTTGAAAAATRTTAAAATTTACTRCTGAAATTCGTACTGTCAGATCAACAATTGAGCGTCTAGTGGAACAATTTGAATCCRCAAGCAGAGTACAAAATGTTCCCATGGCRGAGAGACAAAGAAGTGTCCGTCGTGCCAAGAATATTGCTGGCGCTAGCGCATCAACTGAGGAAGATCCAAATCAATCTCTCAYACGTGATTYTCAAGTRTTGGACATTGCTGTSACGTCGTTGTTGCCTKAACTCCTTACAAGACCAAATTCACGAAAACTCTGAAGCCCCTTGACCACCAGAAATGAGGTTTGGCAACTTGAAAATGATCCGGATTTTCATCGATCATCTTCCTTTCCAACATTCGCAACGATTTGGCACAAGAATGCGATCTAGTTTCATAAAATAAAACTAGTAAAAAATCTTTTTATAAAATTTATGCACTTATTGTTTTATGTATTTGTACTTATATATATAAATGTAAAACGATTTGTAATTTGTATATGTAAAACGATTTGTAAACTTTCAGGAGCTCCCTAAAGTATTTAGACATTATTGAATATAGTTTTCAATTATACCAAAATTTTAGAAACATTCACTTGGCCATTGTGCCACAATAACAAAATTGTACAAAACATACTCGTACTCTCAATATTATTGAATATTTATTTTATCCAACGAGCTTAGATCAAAAAAATCAAAAACGCATACCGTTAGTTGCCGCTAAATATCAGCTAATCTCACACAAAAATGTTTGCCGAATTTTCAACTCACTCATCAAGTATGCAATCCATTTTTTATCGCCGTCAATCAGTGGCAACGCACTAATGCAGCATTTTTTAGCAGCGCCATTAAAAATGCAAAAACAATTACAACAGTTTTGAAATATCGAAAAACTTACTGAAATTGCCGTATTGGCAATGAAATACCGAGAAGCGCTTTCAAATCATATTTCGATAAATCAGAAAGCTGCAAATCAATTTSCATGCAGCGCGCATAACGGCACACATATGTATAGACGGCAGCTGCACAATTTCATAATTAAATATTAACTTTTGGCATAATAAAAATGCGCGCAAACATGTCGGCGCTGTTTACACGGGTTAATGGTGCGTTATGATTATTGTTGTTTTCGATTTTCCGTTTGATTATCGATTTTTGTTGTTTTTTGTTTTATTTTGCATATTTCCGAAGCATTTCGGCGAAATTTAGCGGGCACAGTTCTGAGCGGCAAATGCATTGCTGAAATTTCAATTGCACGCCACAAGCCGTTTTTCTATGTGTATGAGTTTTGTAGAACTATGAATGTGTGTGGGTGGGGTTATAAGCGAATTTGTGTTTGAGTTTGTATGTGTAAATGTTAGTGCGTGTTTATATATTATATGTGACTTTGTATGCTTCTCACAGGCTGTAAACAAAAAACAAGCACAAATTTGCAAACACCGCCAGCACGACAATGGCATAACAACAATTAGCAAATAAATGATAAATTCATGTAAATAAATTAGAATTGCATAGGAAATTTCCATTGCAAACGCTGGCGAGAATTCGCTGGTGGCAAATCAAAATTGCGGGCATAAATAATAGAGTTGCGTTTGCAGGAATTTTTCGGCATTCAAATGGCGCAAGTGGCATGTGCATTGGCAAACACAACAACATAACCAACTATATAACGGGTGTTTCTTTTAGACGTCTTGTTTTCATGTATTCTTGTTAATAGTTGTTACTCATTTTATACGCAGTTTGGTTTGTCATTTCATAATGAACGTACTATCTCCGGAACAATGTTTGAAAATCGTCCAAATTTTCATACTAAAATATTGGATAKTCTTCTTTATTGGCATAGACACCGCTTACGCGGTAATAGCCAACAAAAGCGCACCAGCTCGATCTTCTTCAGTATTTGGCGTACTCGTTGCGCAAAGGAACGTAAATCTTGCGCAGAATCTCTCGAAAACTCGTAGCGCCGACTCACAGATGTTGTCATCGTCTATGCCTGTGCACCATATAGCAGGACGCGGATGATAAGTGGTCAAAAAGGCGGTCTCTCATCTGAAGTTTTACGTTGTTGTTGTTGCCTTTTCATTGCGGACGTCTTTAACGTCTCGGGTACCAAAGTAAGTTCATAACCCTTCTCACTTTAGCTCGCCTTTAAACGGAGGATAGTTGGTCTAAGACCGGAAGTCGAGATCTGCTTGAGCCATATGTAAAAGAAGCGATTCTCGGCAATCAAAGAACTTTTCGCACTTGCGTGAATTCCTATAAATGACACCAATCTATAGATAGTAATTCGAGCAACCATATATCCACTTGATGAAGCTGTCATTAGTTCTTTGGATAGGTTTGAATTCGAAACGAACGTAAAACCTCTTATAAATATGTATGAACTATCATAGTGGAGTGGGCAGTGCACGAAGACTACAAAAGATCAATAGAGACATAACGTAAGGTGGAGTTGAGATAGGAAACCGGTTGCTAATTAAAGAAAAAATCCGGAATATCGCCAACGAGTTAACACAAGGGTATCTCAAGATGGTAGGTACAGCACCAGCGACGACCCTTAATGGCATACACGTAACGCCCATGGACTTAGACGGTAAATAGCAGCGTAGGTTACTATCAGGTTTCGCGAAAGTAGAACGATTAAAGATAGCACAGAAGGATATTTGGAAATCATTACTCACTTAGGCAAAGCCTACTCCTAACGGCATCTTCTCTACACACGTACCTGCAACAGATATGTAGGGGGGACGGAATCGATAGCGAAGAAGAGCACTGAGCTTTTTCACGGATGGATCGAAGCTCAAGGCAAGCTCAATATTAATAAAGGAGTGTTCTGTCACCAGCTCTTAACCATCTCTTATTTTAGACTGCAAGATCACTGTAGTGCCTATCAAGCAAGGCAAACAGTCAAGTTAGAAACAGACATAATTCTCAGAAATTCTTAAAACAGCGCAACTATGCAGACCTTGAGCTCGCTGTCAGTGAGTTCAAAGTTAATCAAGAAATGCATGACCTCACTAGTAGTAGCATTAAGCTGCTTCCATATTAAACTTGTCTGGCTTGCAAGAAAAGGCACCCATATCCATCAGGATAGGAACGTGCAGAGTTTTTTCTGTCTTCACCCACTCAGGCGCTCGCTTGTCAAAGTTGCAACGAAGAAGACGAAGTTGAAACATTTACACATTTTCTATTGTCCAGCTTGCTTCAAACTAAGGTTGAAGCATACCGGTTGCCATACTTTCTCCGTACCTGGTGAATTGGTCGGATTTTATATTTATCTGAGGCTCTAGATGATTAGTTGATATACACGGTCTTTTTGATTCAGAGCTACGAGTTTTGGGCATCGTAACGAACAGGTGTCTCTAGCTGTCTAAGTGAGAATATTCGTGGCATAAAGAGAAATTGGCCGAAATTGGATTATATCATTTTTAAGGTCACCGTTGGCCTAGTTTTTGTAGAATTATGTGAAATCACTTGCCTCTGCGTATAAGCTTGTGGCGATTGATGCTATGAGAGAGAATATTCGGCACATTATTGCTGTCCTATGGCTCCAACTGCTGTAAAAATGATCGAAAAATTGAGTTTCTCACCTGAAATTTATTTAATTTATTTATTATTATTTGCCTGAAATCACTTCTAACACATAACGGCAGACGCTTGTCTTATAGTATAACATTAAATTTTTAGCATTTTTTTTTTCTTAAAAACCACTTGTCTCCAAAAAACCACCCTTTACATGTGTGCGTGTGTGTTCGGAGCGCTAAAGTCAGCCGAAAGTATGCAAATATTGTTTGTTTATTTATTTAACGCAGAGCCATTCATTGGAGCGAATATATTTGCAACAATTTCATGCCACTTTTCAGACATACATACAAAAATACATRWAYTCATACAYATATACATACATGCAAACATACACGCAATCATACATGTTGCTCTGCTTCATTTATGCATTACTGCAAATATAATACATAATACATATTGTTGTTGTTTTTGTTATATTTTCTATTATTTTTGTAAACACTCATCTGCTATTGTATTTGCTCTCCCACCCGCACAGAGCGATTACCATGACCACGCACACCAGCAGTTCAGCACCGCTTCCGCTGCTGCCGCTGCCGCCGCCGCCACCTGCCATTGCCAATTGCCCGGATTTGGCGCAAATCTGCATACAAAATCCACACAAGATGCGAAATTCAAAATTTTATTAGCAATTACGCTGTGCTGCGTTTTCATGGTGAGTAAATCAATCACAAAGCAGACGAACCGCACACAYACACACGCACTTAACACGCCAACTGCAACATAAATCCTCCGCGCTAGTGTGTGTGCGCGCTTATGTTTAATGCAAAAAGTGTTTAGCGCGCATCCAGCGAGTGTTGTGTTACGGCGGCACGTGCCAGCCCAGCGGCGAGCGCAACACTTATTTTCACCTATGTGCTGGCGGCGCGCATGGCGTATGAGTAACGCGCGTCGCCTAATGTGGCGTGTGAAATTCCCACAACCGGTCGGTCGTTTGCTCGCACTTAATTAATCAAACACCAGCATTGCTGCGTACATGTATATGTACAATATACATGTGTGCTCACACTCACACCACGGTTGTCGCGCGCAAATCAGCAAATTCGCCGACACTTTCCCTTGCTGCCTGCCTGCCTGCCTGCCTGCCTGCCGTACACTCGTTGGTGTGCGCTGCCGCTATTGCCTTTGGCGTTGCATTTCCATTTCAATTATGTATTGTGTTTGCGCAGATTGTTGAATTCCTTGGCGGCTATATGGCCGGAAGTTTGGCTATCATGACGGATGCCGCCCACTTGGCGTCCGATTGCATTAGTTTTGTCATCGGTTTAGTGGCAATTTGGTTGGGCGGACGACCGCCCGATGACCGTATGTCCTTCGGCTATAAACGGATGGGTAAGTGTGTTGCCTGGCAACAGTATTTACAATTTTTACGGTTAACGGTCTTTCAAGTATATTTTTATAAAATCGAAATAAATTTAGTTAAGTAATGCAGTTTGATACTGCAAAAAGAAAACTAAATTGRCGGTATTTATTAAAAAAAAAATATTTCCATTTATTTAACAATTTCATCAGAAAAATTATTATGAATTTATTATTTATTTATTATTATTTATTACATATTTTAATCATAATATCTAGTTTTAAGCAGCTCCTTGAGTTTAATAATATTAAATTGTCATCATTTGTCTCTAATACTAATCTAATTAATCTTAATTCGTATTATATCCGCTTATGGTGTGCGACATCGCTAAAATCTAAAGCGCCTAATTGTAGGCAACGTTTTATTATAATGAGGTTCTCCTCAATAATTGTCAATAATATTTATCAAAGTAATAAAAAAAAAAACGCCAAAAAATAGAAAATTAGATATGAACTGCTGGAGAGGGGAACTCTGAACAGTTAAATGTTATACATTATTGCCATAAAATGAGTAAAAACCGTGTTGATTTTATGCCGTAAARGGAATGTTGAAATATGTATCAAAAATAAAAGTCTACATTTATAAATTTCATGTAGAAAATCATATCAAAAATTACGGTTTGGTGCGCTTTATGGGCCGGCGGCTTAATTGGGCCGTACTTTTTCCGTGATGAACAAGACCGGCACGTTACTCTGAATGGGAATCGAATATTTTTGGCACGAATTGGATGATATGAACCAGAACAATATGAGGTTTCTACTGGACTGCGACGCCAGCCACACAGCAAATGTCACAATCGATTTATTGAAAGCCAAGTGCTATCTGCCGAAAAGGCCTTGTCAATTGGCCGACTCAATCGTGCGATTTGATGACTGACTATTGATTATTTCTATTGAGAGACTACATCAAGCCTATGGTCTTGTGGTATATGCCAACAAGCCAGCGACGATCGGTGTAATTCGTGCAAATATCGAACGTGAAATTCCAGTAGTATCGGCTGATTGATTCCCGGAAACCGTCGAAAATTGGGTTTAGCATCTGGGCTTCTGCAAGCGTACCCATGATGGGCATGCAAAAGAAATCGAGTGTCATACATAATGGCATTGAGTGTACTTTCACAGAAATAAATAATACTTTGTAGCGCTCTTATTGAAACCCTCAACCAAGTATGTACTATGTGGACATGTAGAGGTCGGCGCTTGCCCTTGGGGACTTCGAACTTTGGACAAGACCAGTTAATACGCCCCACCGTTAATAAACCCCACGGATTTTCGTCAAGTTTATTACACGATATTACGTGCTCTTTGCTATTTCTTTATAGCTCTTTTCAGTTCCTTGCGCTTGGTCTAGAAATTTTCACGTAGATCCCCATGTACTACTGTATCTGGCACCTAGCTCCAATTTATCTGATTCTTTTGGCATTTGTTCTACATGCGACCTTTTTTGTCTCATGTTTGTAGTTTTTTGTGATGCAATGGTCCATCGTCGGGCTTTTTACTGAGAGCTGTCTAGTTCAGCCGCTCCTAACCTGAAAACAGACACTGTCCAGTAAGCCGCTCACTCAGAGCCAGACACTTCCGGGATTTTACTGATTTGATACATAATCATGGGAGTTAACGATTCAAAACATCACCGAAACGTCATTGGCACAGATATAGCTTTTTAGGCTATACCCTCCATCTCTSCTGCTTTGCTCGGGGACTGCTTATTAAATATTTGCAGCTAATCTGCTTAACTGGAGGCCGTTCAACTATCTGCCAGCTTCTGACCCCTACAGTGGCTCAAGCTAGCCCTGTACCTATTTAGGATATAATAAAACATGTATAAAAAAGTAGCTTGAAAAGTTTGTAAATTTTAAACATCAATAGTGCTAACTTTAGTAATATTTATAACTAGTTTCGACAGTGCTTTCTTTATATTAATACCTTTCAGCCATATAATACTTCCAAAAATTGTTAAAGTTTGAAAATGTTTGAATTATACGATAAATCAATAATACAATTCCACTTAAGATTGCGAAAACCCATCAAACTCATAGAAAATCATTATATTGTTTCTCTTAAGGCAAGACTCAATTGTTTCCACTTGAGAATAATCTCAACCAAGCTATCGAAAGTCATCATTGAGTGCTTTTATGCCAACGTATGTAATTAGCGTTACAGAGTTGAACTAAAACCAGAGTGGAAAATAATAATCAGCTGTTGAGAAATTGACAATTTTTAGTAGRTTTGTGAATTTATTGACAGAAAAATTTTTGAAATACAAATTTTTTCTTTATCCTTTGTTTGGCAATTATTRTTAAGAAATAAACAGTAAGCACTTATAAGGTTTTGCTTTTGATTTCAAAATTTTACATTTTCGAATTTCAAATATATTTTTTTATTAAATATTTATAATTCATAATATAGATGTTCCATTTAGTGTCCTTTAACTGCTTTTATTACTTTAACTAACAYAACGAATTTTTCTCTGCTGTATATTCATTAGAGGTGATGGGCGCCATTGTATCGATATTAGGTATTTGGATACTAACCGCAACACTAATTATTGTGGCCATGGAACGTTTATACTCCAATGACTTCGATTTGAAAGCCGACACCATGATGGTTATATCGGGCATTGGCATTTTAATTAACATTGTGTAAGTATAAATAATCGAAAAAATTTAATTTTAAATTTAGCTAGTTTAAATGTAAGTAAACACGGCATCAAGTCGGATGTGGCAAAGCATTAACACATAATTGTAAGAATCAAATATATAATTTTATTTTTACCTATTTCAACATTAATTATTGAATGAAGTTGTGAATGGATTACATTATAAAAAAAGGTAGAGAAATAATTATTGTGGATATAATGAGAGAATTTAGGTATCAATGGAAATATAGAAAAAAATAAATCACACCAAAGCAAAAGTRAAAAAGGCTCGGTTCCGTAGTGAGTTATTTAAGATCTTCAAGGTTTTTTGAGTATGGAAATGTAATGTTGAAGGTATAGCTTTTAAAATTGCTATATTCATCAAATCCTTTTCTGAATCCATTATACAGGTATTATAGGATTCCACGACATATGTATGTACATATTTGTTTCTATCACTGGGGATATAGAAAATKTACTCTTCGAAAATATTTCTTGTTACCAGTATCATACCTCAGGAAAAAGTATCAACTGTGGTCATGAAAGTTAACCTTTAGATCTCACATTTTTAGATATGAATATCCAAGGCACAAGTGTTTTCCATCTGATCAAGTTTCAATCAGACTTACCAAGAAATAATATGTAACGACTTATATATAAAGTAAACTATGTCTTTTAAGAGACATCTTTACTATCTTCTTCAAAATTGACTAGTTTAGAGAATGACCTTCGACGCTTACACTTTTAATGGTTTCAATTGACTCATTGCGTTTCCCCCAATGAAATTTTTTAATATCAAAAACAGGAAAGAGGCCCTAGGAGCTACATCTGGTGGCTGAGTGATTACATTGGCTTCGTGTTTGGCCAAAAAGTCAGTCACATTCATTTTAGAGCAAAGTAGTATTGTTATTGTCTTTTTGAACCTGTGACACCTYACGATAATCAAAGAAAACGATCAAAATCATCTTCAGTTTTCATAGATTTTAACGTTGTGGTTTCGGTTTTGGCTCATTTCTGCAGCGCAGTTCATTTGATGCTTAAAGAGTTTCGAAGTCGTAYGTATAAACTTGCGTTTTGTAGCCAGTAGTGATGCGTTTGCTAAATATAGGCTCATCAGCTACGTTGTTAAGCATCTCCGTTTTTGTAAAAAAGTCACATATTTTCACACGATTTCATTATAGGCACTTTTAACACTCTAAACATTGATCAAACTGTCTTCAGTCAACCCTTAAAAGTTTTTGAGATTATTATTAGCTCTATGAAAGCTCCGTAATATAAATGGTTTTACCGTTTTTGAAAGAAGCGATACTTATAGTAACGGTATTTTTTAAGCTCAGTTCACTGGAGTATTGGATGTTTGGTCCTAACTGTTTTCGTACAGACTAGGCAAGTCAATTACTAAAATTTTATGTAATATTGTAATTCTGTCAAATGGTGGATTTTGCATTATAAGTTAATCAGAAAACGGATTGTCACCTAGGTGGCACTCTTGACTTACGATCTACTATATAGGTAATAAATACTTATCTTTTTGTTCCTGTCAAACCTAGTGAAATTTAYAACTTTATGCCCGCGTTGTCAGGATAACTCCTTACAGGATCATCTAAAGTGAAAAATACTTGTTTTAGTTAAAAACCTTAACTCAGAACTTGCACGAAAGAAAAAGAGCTAGAAATTGGATTTTTATCACACATTTTTATAAAAAAAAAATTAAATAGCCATGGAATTTCGCTACATTTTTTGCCAAATAGCCATAATCGAAAGAAAAATCCTTCGTCCAAGTCCTTAAGAATTGTCCCTCAAAACATGTGTAAAATATCATGAAAATCGGTTTAATAGTTCTCGAGAAATATCTCCAACCGACTTCAAGACCACTTCGAGAAAAACGCGTTTAAAGACGGCGCACTTAGCCAAATAGGCAGAGCGCACAAGTTCACAAAGCTCTATCTCCGAAACTCAACTWSAAAATTTAGGACAATATTCTAAAGGTGTTGTAGAAGTTAATAAGACAATAAAATCGATTTTTTGAAACCCGTTWGCCCTTGTAACCTCTTCAAWTCGGCCTTTACTCCTTAAAGTTTGGCGTCTTGTGAATCTCGTTTATACTATCACACTTTAAATCACTTGAAAATCGACGGTCCGTGCTCTGCCTTTCATTTGTTTTCGATGTTATTAATGAACGAATTAACTGTTCCTATTTTTGTAAAGTAAATTAAGGCAATATTCCTCAGCGTTGCCACAGTTGTTTTTTTATTTTAATTTTTTAAATTTTTTTTTTTTTTTATGTTAATTCTACATTAAAAATGAGTAAATTTGCAGATTATGCCCCTCTCAAGCGTGCTGTGCATGAGTTTAACTAAGAAACTTCTTTTTTTATAATTCTATTTTGAATCATAACTTTCCAGTAGTATTATATGTAAGAATTAAGATGTMACTAACTAAACAACAACAAAAAATAATTAAAAATTGAATTTGCTTCGAAAGGGTTACATTAAATACATTAAAGAGCACTGTCATCTGCTATTATTTGAACCAGTGTTGGCATCATCTCAAAAAAATTAAAACAAATAATCTAAGGTGGTTACTAGAAAACATGTATTTGCGGCAGATCTATTCGAAAACATATATATTTTTTTCTTTAATTCAAACTGTGAAAATTCAATCAATTAGGGTTACAATCTAACAAAGTCCGTCAAACTGCATTTTTTCCCAAAACAAAAAAAAAATATATAAAAAAGAAAACAAAAAAAAATTATAAAAATTTATAAAAGCATTTGATGTTATAATATGAATTGATAATAGCAAAAATAATAATATTTAGTAATTCAACTGACTTTTATTTCAAAATAATGAAATTAGCTTTCATATCAGTGACAATGACAGTAAAAACGCATATTGCACTGCATTCATATTTAAAATAAAAAAAATGTCTCTTTATATATGTATACATTTATATATTTATGTATACACTATACTATATATGCCCTTATTTATATGTATATGAGTGCATTTTATTAAAACTTAATTGTCAATTCAGCTGCAATTCATTTGCATACATATTTTATTCGTGCCTTTTTACTCACCTAACTATCATAATACATATAGACAAACATGCGCACACACAAGAGTTGGTATATACTATATATATATATTATAGCTGATATAAAATTCTTATTGTCTGCTGTGCACTTTTTTATTGAATTCAAATTTGTTTCACATATGTCTTTCAGCATGGTTTTTATACTGCACGGCTCAGCGCTTACACATGGAGCTGCTCATGGTCACAGCCATGCACACGCACATGCGCACTCACATACGCACAGCCATTCAGCRGCGGCCGACAATGCTGCGGTGCAAGTGCATGGTTCAAATGGCGGTGGWGGCAATGAATTAAAAAAATGGTGAGTAAAAAATAGGCTGACCAGTTATTTAAATGTACTCAATTGTATAAAAAATTATATGTTAATATAGTATGTACGTTAGTTATATACAGTTATGCTCCTGATTTAAAATTACTAGAAAAAACCAAAGTGAATTAAAATTTTCACTACAAAAACTTGCAGGATTTCTATAAGCTATTGATTATAGTAATTGAGTAAATCATAATATCTTGAACAACCGATTTATTTTTAAATTGAATTCAATAAATGTTATATATCTAAGGATTATACCTTCATAAAGTTTCAGAAGTACGAAAAAGAAGTGAGAAGTGAGATGAATTTGTAAAGACTTCCCTCTGCATGGACAATCAGCCGGAGATGTTTTGAAACACATAACAAAACAAATGTAAAATTCGGTTGCGTAAAAGCTATCGTAGGGCATTTCTTAGACTATAAAGCGGTATAATAAGATCCTGGCCAGTTTGTATGGCATCTATATGCTATAGTGGTCCGGCTCATATTATTCACAAAATGTTCGCAGATGGCATTTAATCATATGCCACAAATATTTAGAAATCAAAGAGGCTGCCCATGTCAGTTCGTTTCAAAAGTCCCCGACCGACCATAGTAAAACGCATATTTTTTTAACAATTTATTTAATTTTTACAACATACTAGTTCCCTCAAAGATGATACATTGATTATAAAGACCATTCAACTATCAGTACCATATTTTCACTTCTTGATTCGACGAAAACTTCTTCCCAGCAAGCATTTTTTTTTTTAAAGCTGAGAACAAAAAATTGTCCCTTGGGGCCAGATCTAGAGAGTAAGAAGCAATTCGAAGCAGAATTAATGAATATTTGTCTTCGTTTTCACTGACAATCTGTTTTTGGGCTCACTGCGTTCACCGTCTTCATCACGTCTAAACTTAGCATGCCAGTCCTTGATGATTGGTTTTCCTGGAGTCCGGACACTTGTTATCCTTTCAAAAGATAATATTATATTAGCATTCGAAAAAAATGCGAAGATTGTTAGCACATTTCGTTTCCATTGGCCTACAACAACAATAACATTGTACAGATATGATCCGATTGGTTAAAGACTTAGTGTTGAAAATTACATTACTTCTTGTTTATTTGATTTGCACTTGATTTTATACAAAAAAAGCCTTTGATGAAGCAATCTAGTGTGGAGAATTAATGTCCACTAACCTCAATATACGTTGGACTTACCAAATAGGCCCTACTATTCAGAGCTCTCCAACATTCATAACCTCTAACTCGTATAGTTAAATGCATAAGCAGAATAGTAATGTCAACTGTACCCATTCCGCTAAGTATGAAGTGAGAGTGCACTTTCTTATCTTACCTTATAAAGCAAKAGCTCAGCGCATATTATACTGATACTAATCAATCTTTAACTACCATCCAACACACTACCGATATCCTTAGGCCCACATGACTGTCTAGGAAACTGAACCGAATGACATCAACTAACGCTGTGCTCCTATTCAAATGGCAACATCTCGTTGTTGTACCAAGCATCCCCTAACCTTCGTACCAACCGTGAAGTAGCGTTTGAATGTCCCTTACCTTGTTATTGATCATCATCTTCTTAATAATACTGATTAGACATCACATATTTTATTGCTATATTTCAAGGGTAAGCTAATTAGTTAACAAATAATATGAAAAATTATTAACAAGGGTAATTAGTTAACAATTAATATGGAAAATTATAGCCAGATTTTGAGCTATCTCTATCGGTCTCGACAACAGTTCGAAAACGAGTGCATCGTATATATGAGGGACACACCTTATATTTCGGAATCACAGAACAAAAAAATGTTATCATTCAAAACCGCATTATTATTATTATTTTTTTTTTTTTTAATATTCCCAATCAAGTGCGTTTGAACCGATTGTGGAAGCATTTTTGTCAATCTGATTAAGGTATCTCCCAAACATGCGTTCTGGCCGCCTTTCAGCTATCAAAAAATGTCGACCTGTTGGTTTATTTTTTCCGTACGAGAATAAAAATAAGTCATTGTCGTAATTTCTTGAAAGACAACTGGCAAGCAATTGGTTGTAGAAAACTCTGAATTTGATGTTCTGCGTTGTTCCATTGGTAAGGTTACGATACGTTCAGTTTTTCGAATAAAACAAAACCGAGCAGCAAAATCCAAAGCGGACTTTTGTTGGATTTGGCTCACCTTGAAACACCAATTACATTTTACTGATTCATCACCTATCACTATGTCAAATACGAGTTCTAAAACACCACTTTTCTATATTTTAAAATTTCTCTGCACCAATGGATACGGGCCTTTTTTGAGGGACAAGTTGTGTGAAATCCCACCTGTAACCATTTTTATTTYAAATCATTCACAGCTGCTGAGTTAACTTAACCTTATTTCTCTATCTTAATATACCCGTTACCTTGTGTGTGACAGACCAGTTTATTCATTTGGCACAATCTCTAATACCTAGCAAACCATTTTCTGTTTCATTATGCCAGTCTATTTGATTTATGCTAGTCTTGCGTTCAACTCGGCGCTTAGCAGAGAACAAAATCTATTTGATGTCATTATTTTTCATTTCTACCAGCTGTGTATTCGTTTAACTACTTGCCAAAAGTTACCAATCAAAAGCAACTCATAACAACAGCTCTGATTAGCTCATCCGTTTAACTTACTATATATATACTGTCTCTTATACACATCTAGATGTGTATAAGAGACAGGCTCGTCTTTACGACTTCTTTTGCTTTATTTCGGCTACTTTTTCCACAAAAGCAAGTCATATATCATGAATAGCTAAAGTTTGAATAGTCYAATTTATTGCTAACGACCAATGACTTCAAATAACGCCATAAGAAGTAGTCTAATGATATTAGATCACAACTTTTTTGAGATCATTCAATGTCACAATTTCTTGAAATAATCGAATCACCAAACTTCTCTCGCCATAATTCGGTTGATACAGCCCCGACTTGTTGAAACCAGTTGTTGACAAGATCRGCTTGCTCCAATTGCGGCCATAAAAAGTCTGTTCTCTTCGATCTATACCGCTCTCCATTGACAATGGCAGTTTTACCAGCTTCATTTCGAAAGAAGTACGGACCGATGATTCYACCAGACCAAAAACCACACAAAACTGTCAGTTTTGTTTATGAATGTGAGCCTCATCCGAGAAGTTGATTTTCATAAAAAAGTCGTTATCGTTTCAAGTGCGTYCAAGCAAATTCACGTCGATGGTTACGATGGTTAATGGTTTCATTTCTTGAGTGAGAACAATTTAATACGGATGAAAGTAAATATCCTTTATTAAAATACGCCAAGTTGTGGTGTGAGACAGTCCCAATTCTTGCGTAAGTCTTTGCATCGACAAATAGCGGTCTTCAGCAACACTTGTCTGAATGCGGACAATATTTTCATTACTGTTGGCACTTGATCAATATACAAAGGAAATGTACGCTCGAAATTTTCAACAATTGTAGAACAAGTGGTTTGATAATAAAATTGAATAATTTGCAAACATTGTTCTTGCGTATATATCTCTTTCTATGATAAAAATGTAAACATTACTAAATACAATGAAAAAAATTTTATAGATCATGACACATTCGACATATCATATCATATCTATTGCAAAACCCGTTACATTAGCTATTTATGACATTATGCCAATTTCACAGTTAAACTGAAAGCTCAGCAGGTGATTTCTTCTGATAAACTAATAACTGTAACTTTATTAAGCACACTCCCACYAAATTCACGCACATATGCAACATAGTAAATTTGCAGCAACTTAAATTTGTATGCCACGCAGCCTCTCATTTCTCCATTTTTGTATCGATTTTTTTTTTCCAGCTTTAATTTTTGATTTTCGCGCGCGTGTTTTTCGTTTTTCGATTTCTTGTTATTTGCAAATTCCCATTAATACTTGTAGGCGCTTGTGTGCTTGCGCTTGTATGTAAATGAAGTTAATCCAAGCGGATTCGCGWGCATAATTCATATTGACTTGTGCATATTTTCGTTTACAAAAGTGCTTAAAATTGATTTCGCCAGCGCTTTTTATGAATTTCAAATGTGTGTGCACGCGTGTGTGTGCATTTATGCAAAATGTATGTATTTTTTGCGCTGCGCTGATGCATTTTCCCCACATGCATAAATGATAATTTTCCCCCGTTTTTCGCCAGCAATTATTAATTTTTTTTTCCATATTTGACATAGTCGCACTCGACGTTTGTGTCAATAAGCAACACATTTCAATTTACCGCCAGCGATTTACCAACTTAATTCGCAAGCGGTTTTTTCGCCCTGGAAATACACGTGTGCATTTGTATGTGTGTGTGCGGATTTTTCCCTTTTAATTATAGTTGCAATTATTTTCAACATGATTTTTGCAGGTTATGTTTTTGTCTCGCATTTTCGCGCTCATCTACTTTATTTTCATTTTTTTCCATCCAACATTCTCGCATTTTTTCTACAATAACTTTTAATTTACTTATTTATTTATTCGCTTTGAATATATTTAAATGTTTTTTTTTTTTTTGTTTTGTTTGCATTTCGCCCACCCACAGTGACAGCGCCGAGAACCTCAATCTGCGCGCCGCCATGATACACGTCATCGGCGATCTGGTGCAGAGCATTGGCGTCTTTCTCGCATCAATTTTGATACTAATTTATGTGAGTCAATTTGGCCTTGATTTCGCCATTTAAACTGTGTTCAATTTAATTTATGTGTTTATTCACGTGCCTCTTACAGCCCAGCGCGAAGTTTGCCGATCCGTTGTGCACGCTGCTGTTCTCCGTTATCGTTTTCATGACCACGGTGCGTCTGTTTCGGGAATCGGTTGGCATTCTCCTGGATGCTGTGCCRTCGTCGATCTCACTGCRTAGCTTGKCGTTGGATTTGGCCGACATTGAAGGCGTTAAGTGAGTGCTTCTTGGTGCTCCTAAACACGAAACTGAGAAACATGTATTCAATGCACCCTTCTCTATGCTCTTTTCTCTTCTCTATTCCTCTACAGATCCGTACAYCATTTGAATGTCTGGAGTCACACGAATAATCACAGCGTCATGATGGTGCACTTAGTCATTGGTGAGTATTTCTTAGCATCAGCATTCATACWAAATATTATAACGCAGGAATTTAGTGAGAAACTGAATTTTTCGAAACATCGAATGATAAATTTAAGAGAAATGATGYGTTAACATACTGCAGATATAGATTATCATTCCCACTTCCTCTTGACTGACATGAACCGTGTATTAGCTGAATATACAGCGAGTGAGCCGAATTTCTTTGTTTTGCAAATTCATTCTATTACTAAGCGCCGAGAATATTTTCACAAAACCTGGCAAAATCAATGAAATTTTGGACCTATTAACAATTTTTCCAAAAATTTGAAGTTTCGACTGCACTTAGGTTAGGTTAGGTCCAAAATCGATGGATCTCAATTGAACAGCAGTTGGTGACAGTCCTTAAATTGCGTCATCTCATAGCTGGTTAAAGCGTTTGAAGCTCACCACAAACATATAATATTAAGGCGGTTAATATCAATCCCAGCCCTTATTTGGTTTTCCAAGATATTTTCTTCCGAGATACTTCTAACTCTAAGCCAGGTAATAGAGAAAGAACTGACATTATGATTTAATTTCGCCTTCCTACAAGTTTGGCAAAGAGTGTCCCTATTGGGCAGAGAGGATTTCTATAACCACACATCATGGCAAAGCATAAAGCAAACACTAATGGCTCTAAAACTGAGAGATTATGACACAATTTCTAAAGTCAAAACCATTATATATAATGACAATTCGCTTKTGCTACAAACAAAAAATTTCCAATCGTTCAAGATATTGTTGAAGATGTTTGACATACGCGGGATAAAAAATTGGTCAGTGGAATATCCTAAAACTTACTTTCAAAGCTGGAAAGTTGTTCATCTATATCTTTTCTAAGTATAGACCTTAAGCCATAGTACTAACGTTGCAAACTGACAGAAAACACCTCAGTATTACGGTCACGGAAGTCCCCGAATTAATACGGTTTGTACTTAGAGTCTACAACACAGAGGCCACAAAGTCTGTTAAAATTCGCGTCAAACGCAGGCATCCTAAAGGATGATTACTCTTCATGGACTGAGTAACTGAAYGCCWTCTGGTATCGCAAGGAACCAAAACTGGTCTATGCGTGGCTGATTGGTCTACCAGGCTAACATAACTTGCAACACAAATTACTGCAAGCATAAAAGGCTACTTTGATCGATTTTTTTTTTTTTGTGACGCTGTAAGAACACCAAACATTTGCAATTAGCAATACAAAATTGGAAGCKTCGCCTAAAGGAGGTATTTCATAGAGCTAATTATTTGGACTGAGCCAAACTCGTTAATACTTGGCCAGAGCAAAGCTGTTCTACATCCCAACAGAAGATTTTTGAAGGTATTTGATCACATTTCTATCTTCAGAAACATACATATAGGCAAAGTTAATACACCCCGAGGTTTTATGCTGTTTTCTAGGGTCTACCGCTGGTAAAAAAAAATGGTTGATATTTGTGTAGACGAAAATTTGTAAACTCACTGAGTTGAAAGCTCGCTTTGCAGTCACATTACTGCCGTATTGAAATAGCACTGAGTGTATTTATTGAATCTTGGGCGCTAAATGAGAACAATASATATTACGGAAGCTTYGTCCCGTTATGAAATACCTTGMCAGAAAGGTGCTTTGATTCATGACCATATGAAAGGRACTAAGTCGCAGCCTTGCCCTATAAATAGTTTGTTCTTGTGGTTTTTCTTCTATATTAATGCGCCCAACAAATCAGCCAATCGGCCATATGGTCACCATGCTATCTTGACCTACTTACGGATGTAGAAATTCTTGGAGATGYCTTYYTAACYTAATAAAGAATAGATTCTGACTGTGCGCTTAAAATTTCTATAAAATCRTTTCAATTTGGTTCGCATTTGAATAAAATCGAGCTAAAGTGAACTCKGTTTGATTTCCTCATAAACCATGGTCCACYGTGCTCATTTATTGAGCATGTATTAATAGTTTCCCAGAACYTTGGCAATTGAAATTAAAATCCAAGCGTCAYGTGTGCTGCCATTAATTTTGCGCTAAATCTTTTAATTGAATTCTGAAAAAGTAAATAACTGCATTTGCTAATGACTAATATTAAATTTCCGATTTGTGCATTCGCAGATTTCCTCTCGGACAGCAACACGGTGCTGCAGCGCGCCACACAAGTAGCCTGTGGCAGCAAATACGACATCAAACATTGCACCATACAAATCGAACGTTCCACGAGCACATAAAACCACTTGCACTTAGACGAATAAGCCAGCATATGCTTGTGTGTAGCTAAGAAAGAAAAAAGAAATAAATGAAATTAAAAGTTGTAATAAAATCATTAGCTTTATGATTTTTATCGTCAAAGACTGAACCGACGAATTAAACGATCACACGACGCCTTGCCAGACCAGACCGATAACTGTGCGATGAAAGTGTGAAATTTACGCTTCTTTGGAGAATACAAAGGGAGAGAGAAAGAGAAAAGAAGGTGATATATATTTATATATATGTATGTGTTGCTGCTCACGTACGTGCGCTTAACGACGGTTGGTGGAGGACGTGGAGGCGGCTGTGCCACACTTGCGATGCATTCTAGCTGCAGTAATTCTATCACAGACAATTGACGTTGTCATTAAATGCTCCTCGCTAATTGATCGTTAAATTTATTACCTCTATGAGAGGGCGCGCGGCATGCCAGTGCGTGGATATATGGCTGTTGCTCATATTGGTGTTCATATATGGAGGAATTTATATATTTCACGCGTGTGCTTCATAAAATGGATACAACACATACACGTATATGCCCATGTACATACACACACATATGTATATACAAACAACAACAATTCACAATCATTTATTGCCATTACTCGCAATTACTAAGCGTGAAGCACCAAAGTTCGCCGCTATAAAAAAGCGAAAAAAAATAAAAAACTAGAAATAATAAAATAAAATTCAAACAAATCGGAAAGGTGTGAAAATAAATTGTAGCTATCGTAAATATATAAGAGCATATACATAAAATAAACAGTCTGTTGTTTGCTTATTTTATCGCGCTCAATGTGATAATGAAAATCCTCGCGGTTAAACAGCAATTACAGCGCTGCAATATTCATAGGTAAACAAAATTGCAAAACAAAAAAAAACAGAGTATTAGAAAAATATGTATAATATTTTAAAATAAGCAGCAGTTAATTAGTATATGTATGTAGCCTTAGTTTTTAAGCGCGTTTATTAATGTTATGTAGTTATATTTGCGTAATGTCATTACTTAAGCTGTTGTTGCAACGCAAAAATTAATTAAAATTGTCGTATTTGTTCAGCGAAACTAATAAAAATAATATATTAAATGTCAAAAGTATGAAATTTGAATGAAATCCCGAAATGGTTGCTCTCAATTATGTTTCATTTTATTTAGTTGCATTAATAAATAATATTACAGAAATAATCACGTCCCCGAAACTCAACCTCGCGGAAGACATATGTATTGTGAATCTATTACACAGCCTGACAAAGTTAAAAAAGTTTGCTTCTTTGAATATATCACCTGATTCTAGTTATTTTGGGCGCGCTGAATTCAAATCTGTAATCAGTTTGTCTCTATCATAATATAGCTTTCTTATATCCTCCACTTATGGCTTGAAACAAAATTTCGCCTAAAAAATTTTTACCTTAAAAAAATGTTAATTTACCTTAAAAAAAATTTTTTTAACCCAAACAGTCAGCGGGRCTGCATTGACGTTTTGAGTTTCTGAGTGGCCAAAAGGCACATGGAATCAAATCAGGCGAATACGGAGCTTGTTCACGGTATGAGTCGAGTTTGTGAAAGTGAAGAATTAAAGCTGTATGACATCATGCTTATGGTGTTGCAGAACGCATTGAGAAATAAATAAAAACAATCTTCCAAATGGGTGGAGCTGAGTGACGTGATATCAGGTTTTGTTTTTCTTTAGTTTTGTTTTACTTGAGTGCCTGCCATACATGGGCTAACCTCACGGTACTTTAGAGCATGTAGATGAAAATATTTCGTTGATTATTTTATTATTTGGTTCCAACTGTTACGGCGGAARGGACAACATTTACACATTGGTCGGGTTCGAGGTTAATATAAATTCTCTGCCGTATTGTGGACGCAATGTGATTCCACACAGAACTGAGTTTTGAATTCTACCTGCTTTTASGTTTAAACCACAGTCACTACGAATGTCCCATTGGTACCAAATTTAAGTCTCCGATCAGAATTACTACCAGTGGAGCACCAATCAAAGAAAAAATACAAATCTATTTTTATTAGATGGAATATCATTCAATGCTCTTAATATCTCTTCAAGCTGAGTATTATCGCCCTATTTCTTGCAAGACTATGCTGATATATCGAGGCAATAATATAAACAGACATAGTGCTTATTGGTTTTGGACAGACCTACCAACATAGAAAGCAAAAAGTTACATGTCTCCCTTATGCCCCGGTAAGTTTGAATGATAATTTCAACTTACTTTTCTCATCATATTAGTATATTCAATGTCGACCATATTTATTTCGCGAGTAGTTTGTAAGTAAGTATTCTGGTTCTGGTCTGGAAGAACGAAGCAAGCATTGGATATCTTTAATTGAATGTGTGAATATATATATAGCTGTAATATGGGAGAACTAGGCAACTTTACGCCAACTTTTGGATCATTCATCGCAACACACTACTAACTACAGACTACTGAGTAGTTCGGTACCATTTTTATACATTCTAATATCTCACCCTTGTTTAAAAGACGCTTCTTTATAGAAAATGAGGTCAGTCAGACGCTAAACAAGCCCACTCCTCACCTAACTACGAGTATTATGTTGAAGACTATTAAGCTAACATTAAAAATTGAATTATCGGACAACAACCACGCCTTCCTCTCATATGTATATAAAAATTGTGTTTTCCATATGAATCATTCACTTTACAGAATATAAAGCGATCACCAATAAAACTTGGAGAAAATTTATTTTCTCATCCCAGACCATCTCCTCGGCCAAATACAGTCGATGTAACGATTTCCGACATATATACATAAATACATTTAGCTAAGATAAAGCAGGATAATCTCATAGTGGTAGCAGTGGCAAAACATGCAGGTGACCTGCGTCAATGATTTCTATTATGAGTTTGTAGCAGACTAAGTAGAAAACGGAAGTATTGGTCATAAGCATAAGGAAGGTGGAAGACATTATTTCAGCCCTAATTTTTTACTCTAGATTAAAATTTAAAGAAGTCCTGACATAACCTTCCGGTAAAGTAAACGAAATCTTTAATACTATATCAAAAATGATGGTCAATAGGGGTTGTGTGCGGCCCAGCCAGCGGCTTTTAATAACAAACAACAAAACCAAGTTTGGTAATATTTTATGCAGCACTAATATGGATGCAAGCACTGGACATAAAAGTTCATGCTAAATACATAAAACGATGAATTCACGTGATTGGACCAGCTATCAAAGCCGTATATAGTCGTTAAACGAAAGTAAAGAACCAAAATCATCAAAAGGTGGTAGAAACGGTGACAAACTTCAATCAAAAATGGTGAATCTACAGACTAATACCGGAGATTCGTTCGTGGATGGATATACAATATGAGGACCAAAACTTTCACCAAACCCAAATACTCAATGGACATGGTTGGCTTAGATGCTATCTGTTCCGAATGCATCAGGACTTCATATCCACTGTGCTTAGAAGACTCTGAATACGTACATATGTATGTATATTTTCGATACCATTGTTTTTCAAATGCAAGGTAAAACTTAAAAACTTCACCTAACAGTAGTTTTACGGTAGAAAATTTAACATAACTCATGTCTGTCCTCTTGTAAATGGAAAGCTAGCAGGGAAGCTTCAGGTCTAATTATGACAAAACTAAAATATGTCAGTCCGTATCATAAATGAGATTTCCAAGACTTTCTCTCGCCCATGGAGAAATATAATTTGGGAGTAGTTTAGGTTTAGCGGATTAAAGTTCCGCACACTGGGTCTCGATGCTTTCTCCTACTATAAGAAAGTATCTTTTATATGAAATTTTTCAAAACGACTTTTTTAAATGATATAGCGGGTGATCCAAGTAAAGTTTTTTTTTTTTTTTTTTTTGACAGATAAAAACGCTTACTCTTCGCAACACCATCACCCATCTTGAGACCCAGCATTCAATATTCGATAATATTCGACCGAATAGACCACGTCCAGCACGCAGTGAGGGTATCGAAGATCGTGGAGAGTCGTTGGTGCCATTCGCAGCAACTTGGACTGTCATATGGGCAGCTTGGGCTCAAAAAAAAAAATACCAAGAAGATCCGACGTTTAGAGCCACATTTTGTTCAGCGATGAGGCGCACTTCTGGGTAAATGGGTAGGAAAACAAGCAAAACTGCCGTATTTGGAACGGAGAGCATTTTAGAAAGTAGGAAATCTTAAACTGGAACATACTTATTATGTACACATAAATATATAAAGATGGACATATATTTGGTTATACTGAAAAGAAGCGGCGTGAATTGGCTTTGCTGCCACATTAATTAAAGTAGTAAAAACTATTAATCAAATTGGCGAGCAAAGCGCTGAAAAGAATTGGCACAACGTCAAAGAAAGCAAGGAGGCATAAAGAAGTGTAAAATCTAGATAGGTACTTACAAGTATATACATACATATAAATATATGTATGTATGCCCAAAACGGAAAGCAGCGAAATGTGTCAGTGGAATTTACGCAAAGCATACTCAAAATTGGCAAAATRCATTTGTATTCTCCTTCCGTATATTTATATATATCTGTAAATATATATATATATTTATATATATATAACTATAAATATTGTATGTTGCATGCGCTTTTCAAGTGCAACACGCTATAATTACACTCGTGTGCGCAGTCGAGCGCCGCAGCTTCGCACTTGAAGAGATCGGCAGCGCGTTAAGGATTCAATTACAAAATGCTTAAAAATCATAAAAGTAACACACAAGCAAACACAATTACATGCATGTATATAAGCATATGTTTACAGTTTACATGCCACTTAAAGCGAACGCTTTAACAATTTCTACACTAAAAATAAAAATAAAAAAATTAAGTAAAACTGAAATAATATTTTTGTTTTTTTGTTTTTTATAAAAAGACAATACTTTATAATTTATGTACATTTTTTGTATGTGTGTGTGTGTGTAAAAAACAGTTTWGCATATGTACTTTCATTTGCATTTATCTTATTTGCCGGCCATGCCATCTCAAATGTTGGTGCCACGAGGCGTATGAGTAATTTCACTGAGAACAGCCTGCAAGTTGCTATTCGAGTATGTATGTGTATGCGTGTGCGCGTGCGTGAGCGTGTAAAAAGTAATAATATGCGTGCATTATTAATTGTAATGTACTAAAGCATATTAAATATGTGTGAGTGTAGAAAGAACACATTTATTTGTGTGTTGAAAAATAATAATTTAATATTATTTTAAATTCACTCAAGCGTGAATGCAACGCTGCGCAACTGTCGCTGTGCTCACCTCGAGTGTAGGTGTGTGTCTCCTTGCTAGCTGTTGCAAGTGTGTCTCATGCGTGCACTTTAATCTCGCGCATATTACTGCATGTGTATGTTGCTGTTGTTGTTGTTAGTGTGCCCAAAGTGCATAAATAATCAGGACGCACGGTGTTGTGATTGCAGGAAAAATCGTGATAAATATGATAAAAGTATATTCCAAGAGTGAGGTAGAGTTATTTTCATATTTATTTATATCTGAAATGTTGCAAGATATATTGTAAAGAATATGCACACAGTTAAATGTGTAGCGAATCGAACAAACAATATCTGCTCCATTCGCGAGAAAGAGCAAGTGTTGAAAACCAATAAAGTTCTTTAACCTAATGAATAGTAATTCTACAAGGTACCATCTAAGCTCCACTCAAAAACACAAACTTGTTATTTGGTACAACGAGTACATCAGGAATGAGCATCTGTGGTCACCCCGTCCTCTAATAGATTTAATATATTTTTAGTAATTTGGGAAATATAAACCACTAACAATAAACCAAATAAAAGCATTTAGGAAATGTTTTTGCCGCACCACATCAACAGCGCCACTCTCCCGCCATGCTTGAAAATATGTTAAACGTACCTACTCTTTACATTGTGACGCAAATAATTTAATTTCTCATCAATATTTAATTTTCCAACCTCAAAGTAATCTCCACCACGGTACTTATGCCAACGAATTTTCCAGTCCCCGAAACACTTGTCGTAAGAACTTTTTGGAAGGTCCTTCAGCGAATTTTGTTTTATCGCTTCGATCGACCAAAAACAGTTCAGATGGGATAACAAAAAAAAAAACACC